TTGGCTCGCTCCCCAGTCCCACTCCGCCCCCCTACATCACTCCTTCCTGGCCACAGCCAGATCCCCGCCCAAACCCTGGGCTGGGCCTGGCAAGAGGTAGTCCCTTCATTCCGGTCGTCGTCATTGGCCTGGCCCGGCTCGCCGGCCTCGCCCAGCTGTGCCCTGACCCAGTCTTGCCTCTGGTGTCTGAAGACCACCCCCGTTCTGAACACCAGCGCCCGGTGGATGTGGGGAGGATCGAGGAAGGCGGTGCTCCGCGCTTCCCCACCTCCACCCTGTGGGCCTGGCCCCCGCGGATGCTCTGGACGATCTGCTCCCTGCTCCTCTCCTGCAGTGTGGCTAGCCACCCAGAACCACAGCACCCTGGTGACAGAGCGCAGCGCCGTACCCTTCCTGCCTGTTAACCCCGAATACTCGGCCACACGGAATCAGGTGAGGGGGCCGGACAGGGGGCCGGGGTGGCCTCCTCCCCTCCAACTGAGCCACCAGGTGCCCCTGCTGGGGTCGCCGGCTTTGTGGGCCCTGCCCTTCCTTGCTGGCTTTTGTGTGGGCTTCTGCCTAGGCCTGCTCTTCTCCTCCCCTGGCCCAGGCCTCCTTTGGGGCCCCGCTGGCACTGGGATTTGGAAAAGGGTAAGAGGCTGGTTTTTTTTTTTTTTGAGCTCTTGGTGAGCAGGGGAGGACACTCCAGCCTCTTCTTGAGAGTTTCCCAGACCCCGCAATCTGGCCAGGTGAGCCAGGTAGCAGGGCACGGCCTTGCCGCTTGGTTCCCACCGCCATCTGTCAGCTGTGAGCCGGGTTCTTTCTGCTTTGCAGGGGCGACAGAAGTTGGCCCGCTTTAACGCCCGAGAGTTTGCCACCTTGATCATTGACATTCTCAGCGAGGCCAAGCGGAGACAGCAGGGCAAGAGCCTGAGCAGCCCCACAGGTGGGAAGGGTGTGGATGGGGCTGAGGGCAGCGGGCACTTTTCTAGTATATTCTCTTCCATGGCTCCTTTCTGGGATGGCATGATAGAAGGGTCGTGTGGCGGAAGCCTGAGTGACTGGACTGTGTCCTCAGACAACCTCGAGCTGTCTGCGCGGAGCCAGAGTGACCTCGACGACCAGCATGATTACGACAGTGTGGCCTCAGACGAGGACACGGACCAGGAGCCCCTGCGCAGCGCTGGTGCCACTAGGAACAACCGTGCCCGGGTCTGAGCACTGCCCCTCCCCTGGCCTCCATTAAGGCTCAGCTCGATCCCCTTGTAGCCCAGGGCTTCGGGGACAAGCGGGCTGGTTGCGGCCTCGTGGACAGTCTTCTGGGGGCATTTGCCCCCCTGTCCCTGAAGGCTGACCAACTTCTGTCTCACTCTGCAGAGCATGGACTCCTCAGACCTGTCCGATGGGGCCGTGACGCTGCAGGAATATCTGGAGCTGAAGAAGGCTCTCGCTACCTCCGAGGCAAAGGTGCAACAGCTCATGAAGGTCAACAGCAGCTTGAGTGATGAGCTCCGGAGGCTGCAGAGGGAGGTAAGGGCTGCAGCGTCGGTAGGAGCACCCGTGTCGGAGAGGACCCCCTGCCCCCGGAGGTGGGGTGCTGCCTGGACTCTCTGGAGGTTCTGACCCCACTGTCCACTCTCAGATCCACAAGCTGCAGGCAGAGAACTTGCAGATCCGGCAGCCGCCCGGGCCGGTGCCCACACCCCCGCTGCCCAGCGAGCGGGCTGAACACACACCCATGGGGCCTGGTGGGAGTGCCCACCGCAGGGACCGCCAGGCCTTCTCCATGTATGAACCAGGCTCTGCCCTGAAGCCCTTTGGGGGCCCCCCCGGGGACGAGCTCTCTACCCGGCTACAGCCTTTCCACAGCGCTGTGAGTTGCCTGTGGGTCTCAAGGATCGGGGCGGGGGGGGGGGGAGACGGAGGGCTGGGGCTGCCGCAGGGCCCCCCGTGACCCCTACTGTGCCAACCCCCAGGAGCTGGAGGAGGATGCCATCTATTCAGTGCACGTCCCAGCTGGCCTTTACCGGGTAAGGAGGGCGTGGGGGAAGTGGAGCCAGTTGTGCACCTCGGTCCTGAGCGCCAGTGGGTGTCAGGCTTCGTGCTGCTGCCGGGCACAGGAATGACTAGATACACACGGTCCCTACCCTCGCTGCTGGGAAGCTGGAAGGCGGGGGGCAGGGAGGGGAGACTGACTCCAGCCCTCCTGGGTTTCAGATCCGGAAGGGGGTGTCGGCCTCATCCGTGCCCTTCACCCCCTCCTCCCCACTACTGTCCTGCTCCCAGGAAGGAAGCCGCCACACGGTAACGTTCCCATCCCCAGGGCCCAGGGGACAGGGGCTGGGCTGTGTGAGTCGGCGAACGTTAACCTCACCCACTGCCCCTTCGCTGCTCCTGCAGAGCAAGCTTTCCCGCCACGGCAGCGGTGCTGACAGTGACTATGAGAACACGCAAAGCGGGGACCCGCTGCTTGGGTGAGGCAGCCCAGGGAAGGCAGCAGAGCGGGCTCTGGCGTGGCTGTGAGGGTACAGGCAAGCAGCCTCACCCCTGGGCGGTCTCTTTCTAACCCCAACCTCAGACTGGAGGGGAAGAGGTTTCTTGAGCTGGGCAAGGAAGACGACTTCCACCCAGAGTTGGAAAGCCTGGATGGAGACCTTGACCCTGGGCTTCCCAGCACCGAGGATGTCATCCTGAAGACGGAACAGGTCACCAAGAACATTCAGGAATTATTGCGGGCTGCCCAAGAATTCAAGCATGACAGGTATAGGGGGTGGGATGCAGGGCTCACAGCAGCCCCTGGGTGTTGTAGAGGGCTGGGGGGAGGGGAGGGGAGNGGGGGGGGGGGGGGGGGGGGGGGGGGGGGGGGGGGGGGGGGGGGGGGGGGGGGGGGGGGGGGGGGGGGGGGGGGGGGGGGGGGGGGGGGGGGGTTGACCAATGTTCCCCTGTCCCTGCAAACCCTCCTGTTTACCCTCCCTGGCCCCCACAGCTTTGTACCCTGCTCGGAGAAGATCCATTTGGCTGTGACAGAAATGGCCTCTCTCTTCCCAAAGGTACAGGGACCAGAGAGAGGAGTGGAAGGCTCTCAGGGTGGGGCAGGTGCAGGGAATGTGACCGCTACCTGGGTGGAGACAAGGGAGGACACCCTGGGCCCTGTTCATAGCTCATGGTCTGAAGTCCAAGGCCCAACTCCCTCCTCCCTCCAGAGGCCAGCCCTGGAGCCTGTGCGCAGCTCACTGCGGCTGCTCAATGCCAGCGCCTACCGGCTGCAGAGTGAGTGCCGGAAGACCGTGCCCCCGGAGCCTGGCGCCCCTGTGGACTTCCAGCTGCTGACTCAGCAGGTGATCCAGTGCGCCTATGACATCGCCAAGGCTGCCAAGCAGCTGGTCACCATCACCACCCGAGAAAAGAAGCAGTGACCACTCTCCCTGCACCCTCCCCTGCACCCTGGGACCTCACTGGCCACAGGAGCTGGGCCACCCCAGACACTAATCCCCACCCCCACAGAGCCGCTGGCACAAGTGCCCTTAGTGCTGCCACTGTCCCCTGGCAGCCAGGCACCCTGGTGCCCGCCCCCCCTCGAGCCCCCAGGGATGGGGAGGTGGGGTGGCAGGAGCTTCTGTCCCCCACATTCCATGCACCTCCCCCTGTACATAGCATCTCCCCCCCCCCCCTTCTAGCGTGCAGGGGCCTGTAAGGCATCACTCCCAGCCCCTTGCCCTCTGGGGCACCCTCAGCAAAGGGTCAGGTGGGGACACTCCAAGTGGTGCCAGTTCCCCCTACAGGCACCCCACCCCTATGAGCCAGTTCAGCCCTACTGGGGGCTGAGCCGGGGGCATCCCCTCCTTTGTACATAATCTCTGTGGATGTCCCCTGCCCTGTAGCCACCAGCCCCCCTGCTGCTCTCCTTTAATGCCAAACGGCCCCTGCCTCGGGCACAGGCACCAACCTGTGTTCCCAGGGTCCCTAGCAGCAAACAAACACTGGAAAATCTTTTTTTCTCTCTCTCTCTTCTCTTCCACCCCTTAATTTTAACATTGTGGTAACGGAGTGTCCCTGCGTGCCTGTGTGTGCGTGTGCGGGGCGGCAGTGCCGTTCCGGAGGCCTGGCCCATCCGGAGTTTTGTGAAGGGTGAGGGGACCAGAGTTGGGGGTCAGTCCCCCCCTCCCATCCTGGGGCTAGGGACTGCTGGTAACCAGCTGGGGTCCTAGCTGTTGCCTCCCCCCACCGGTCCCCCCACTCATACCCCTTCTCTATGAACTTAACAAAAAAACAAAACCACTTCCTTGCATCTCTCCTCTCCCCCCTCCCTCGTGGAGGGGGCTGTGCTGGCTGGGGCACAGAACTGAGCACCTGAGCCTGGGGCTGGCTCCCCAGGGTCCCTGACTCAGCTGAGAGGCCCCTCCCCGTAACCTCTGAGAGGCCAGCACCCGCCCTGGGGTATCTGGGCATCTGGAATCTGGGCCGCAGCCTGGGAAGGCTAAAGAGGCAGATGGCAGTGCCTGCCAGCCCGTCTCCCCGTCCTGCCTCTGCCAGGGGCCAGGCTGTACCTGTGTGGTGGTGGTGGTGGTGGGTGGGCTGTCAAGACGTGTCATGTACATTTGTATCAAAAATAAATAAGTGACCATGTGCTGTTGCTGAGGTTTAGAGGATTTGCGGGCGGGAAAGGAGGAGGTTGGGGAGGTGGCGGGCACGAAAGGGACAGAGACAGACCTGGCAAGGGCAGGAGGCAGATGAAGACTACAGCTGCTCCAGACCTGGAACTTGCAAGGAAAGCCCTTGTGTTCTAGAAAAGAAGCTGGGAAATAAAGTGTCAGTAACCACCACCACCGCCTTCTCCCCCTCCCCCTCCCCCCAAGGTAGCTAAAGGGTCCCACCAGGCTCCTAAAACTCTGGCTGAGGCCAGGAAGGCTGGTGGGTGCCTAACTCGATTTTCTAAGCTCCCACTTCGAACAAAACCGAAATGGCCTAGGAGGGGTCCTGGGTGGGAGTGTCTGTGTGGCAGATGCACAGGCTCAACTCCAGACTCTACTAAAATAATTTAATTAGAAACACAGGCAAGGAAGGCTGAAATGGCCCATTTCCTTCCTCCCACCCACTCCCGCCCCCGCAGCAAACCACACCTTAAGGACAAGCCCCTTTGCAATGCTTAGGCAGGAATGCTCCATCTGGCCACCTGGGGGCGGTCCTGCGCAGGGTCCACGTGGCAGAGGTCGCGGCCTCCCCCGGGGCGGAGAAACCAAACCGGCCAAAGTGGCAGGGCTGGGGTCGGGTCAGTCGGAGCTGTCCCCATCTGGGCCGCTGTCCGGCGTGGGCGGGAGGAGGGGTCTCCGGCGGGAACGCTTGGGCCGGCGCGGGAGCGGCAGCAGCCTGCGCTTCAGCACAGCTACGGGCGGGGTGGGGAGCGGTCAGTGGTCCGCAGGGATGCCCTGGGGGCCCAGGGCCAGGTTGGAGGGATGGGGAGTAAGGAAGGTAACTTCTCACCAGCCACCGTGTCCTGGCTGTCCGCTGTGGGCTCCCAGTAGATGCTCTCCCCGCGGCGGAAGTTTCGGTGCAGCCGCGTGCAGAGCGTGGCCAGAGTGAGCAGCACTAACAGGAATGTCAGGGCCATGGCAGCCCAAGCAGCCTCCTCCGTGCGCGGGGTGGGGCCCCGGGCTACCCGCGGGGGCGCTGCTGCCCGAGGGGCTGGGGAAGCCTCATTTGGACAGGTACAGCCCCCTGGGCTGCTCTGCCCTTTGGGCACCTGGGCCCGGATCCTAGAGCTGGCATTGCCTCCAGCCCCCTCACGCAACAAGGGGAGAGTGGGCCCAGAGGGGGCATCACCCCCCTCACCCCGGGCTGCCAGCACGGGCTGCTTGGCCTCCAAGCTCCTTGGCGAGGCAGGGGGGAACCTCAGGGCTGAAGGCGTGGGCTGGAGGCCAAGAGCGGCCCGCAGCCCACGCCTCTTGGCACCACCAGGAGAGAGGTGCCTGGACCCTCTAGCCGCCTCCTCTGCACCGGGGGGTCGCCAGCTCCGCAGGGTAAAAGCCAAAGCCGGAGCCTTTGGGGAGAGAGACAGCAGTCACCCTTTTCCTGCCCAGATAACCCAACGACCCTGCCACCAACCAAGCACAGCACCACTCACCTGCAGACACCCTCTCCAGCACAGCCTCCCTCTACCTGGCCTTGGCACCAAGGGAGAGGACCCAGAAAGGCTGCCAGAGCAGAACCATGCCTTCTTCCTCAGCCTCCGCCGCCGCCGCCTCCTCTTCAGCCAGTGGGCAGCCCAGGCTGGCTCTATCCGTGCCAGCTCCAGCACCACCCCCCACGCTGCCAGCACCAAGGGCTACAAGAGGAGAACGCAGTTCAAGGTGGGGAGTGCGCAAGAGGAAGTCCCTGCGTTTTCCTTTCTCGCACATGGGGCTGCAGCCTCTGCCAGTCGACCACCTTTCATCCACCGCTTACCCGCTCCTGAGTGAGGCTGGAGTCCGGGGCCAGTGAGGGCTGGGCCACACAAACGTGGGCCAGGAGGGCAAGCTGGAGCTTCAGCCAAGGGTGGGTACAGGGGTGGTAGAGGAAGCGGACATCCTCAGCCTGGAGTAATGGCACGGAGACATTAAGCCAGGCCGGGCGACTCTGAGAATCCCCAGTTCTCCCATCCCGGGGGCCAGAGCTTTATTAAAGGGATCCCCAAGGGGCCAGATGACCCACCTTCAGGGCCTCTGAGCATTTTCAGCCCTGAGCACTCCCCACCAGGCGCCACACCTCAAAGCTCACAACTTCCATGACCGGAGGCCCTGGTTAACGCTGTCAGAACAGTCTTCAGCTGTCTTTCTCTGCACCTGCGACAGTGGCTCCACGGGTCCCCAGTCTAGACGGTAAGCATTCCCAAATGGAGTCCACGTCTCCTATCTACTGATCTATCTATATATTCAATCTTCCCAGAGCATCCAAATGCAGGGCATTCAAGCAGCAGGTGCATGATTCCATGAGGGAAACATTTCATCAATTATTAATTATTCTTTGATTGTGCTGACCTAATGCTCCACACTGTGCCAGATGCTACAGGAGATGCCAAAACACAATGCCTGGTCTCTGCTTGCAGGGAATGTAGAGGAAACTCAGGGCAACAGAACTAATGCAAATGAGAGAACAAACTCATAAAACTCAAAGCGATGAGCTGTTCAGCTAGGAGAGAGGAGTTGTAAGCACGACAAATTTGGAGAAGGTGAGGAGTAAGGGCTGATGTAATGGGGCGAGTTCTCAAAGGAAGAGGGGACTCTCGCACTGGGCTTTGGAGGTAGATGGGATGGAGGGCAGGGAGCCCACTCCAGCTTCCGGTCACCATAGGCCAGGTGTGGAGAGCAAGTGGCAGTAAAGGTACAGCAGTGGGAAGAAGCCCACACAGCTGGTGGGGAGACCAAGATGACTGGAGAAGAACCAAAGCTCTGGGGGGGGGGGGGGGGGGGCAGACAAGGCCTGAAAAGCTGGGAGTGAGGATTCGGTGGCTAGAAGATCAGAAATAAGATACTGAAGACTTCCAATCAGTGGAATAACTTAACGAAAGAGCTGTCTGAGGGAAGGCATCAGGAAGGTGGCACGAGGTTTCCTGGCCAGGAGCTATTAACAAGGTTTAAAAAAAAAAAAAAAAAAAAGATTTGAAAAGGAAGAAAACCAAAGGGACAAACAGGGAAGGTATCTGACCAGTGGCCACAAAAACAGACGCAGCCGTGCAAGGTGAAGCCACAGTCTGGTGCCCAGTAACTGAGGCACACTTTACCTCATACGGCTTCCTACACTTCCCCAAGTGCTAGCACACACACTTCATTTAGTCCCCGGGAGCTGGGACACTACTAACAGCCTCCCTTGAGAAAACTGGGGCTCAGAGAAGTCAGGAGACTCCCCACAGTCACACAGCAGTGTTGGAGCATGGGTTTTTTTGGTGTTTCGTTCTTTGGGTTTTTTTGCCACCAGGGCCAGAGTTCCCCTTGCAGCCTCCTGCCCGTGGGCAGACAGCTGCCCGACAGCATTCCTGACACAGCACTGCAGAGGACAGAGGCTTGTGGGTCACTGTTCTGGGACTAAGAACACGGTTTCTTCGGGGGGGAAGCGGTGAAGAATGGAGCTGGTGAACAGAAAAAGCGGAGAAAGCCTGCAAGGAGCTCACTGTTTCTGGTACAGACACCAAGGATGCCTCCCTGCTTGTACTTACCTGCCATGGGCTCATCCGTGTGTAGGTCACTCTTGGTGACACCTATGCATGGGGGAAACGGAGGGCTTAGAGCAGCCGGGGCCCCGCGTGGGGGTGGGGAAGGGACAGCAGGCCCCATCTGGCCAGGCTGGGATGGAGCCGCTGGCGACTGTGGGCCAGAGGAACCGGCAGAGGTCCTCAGAGGGTGACCGTGGAGGGCGCAGCCCAGAGCGTGGCTGGGCTACCCCTTCACACCCCCCTCTCCCACCCCCTGCCAGGCTCCTACCTGTGGAGGCAGAGGCCACGGACCCTCGGGACAACTGGCCCCCGCTTCCTCCTCCGGCTCAGCTACCACCTGTGGGTCCAAAGCACAGAAGAGCTGGAGCGCTAGCCTCGGTGTGGGCCCTGCCTTCTCCCTCCCAGGCCCAGCCGGTCAGGGGACGACTCCTAGTCCCCTCTCCACGCGCCACTCCTTCCAGGACTAACTTTTGACAAAGCGCTTGGAGATCCCAGGCCGAAGCCTGCTCAGGAGCGGGTCGGTGGCCTTACCTCACTGGGACCTAGGAGCCCCGCAAGGGCTGCCAGGAGCAGCAGCTGGGGCGAAGGCGGCGGAGGCGCCATCCCTGCCGGCCGGGGGCTCGGCCCGAAGTCCTGCAAGCCAGGGAACGCGCGCCCCCCCGCGCGCCCACGTAGACCCTGGATCGCGCGCGCTCGCGCGCGCCGTCCCACCCCCACCCCAGAGGCGCGCCCAGACTCCCAAGGATCGCGCGCCTCCCGCCTCGCCCCGCCCCCGCAGCTGCGTGCTACTCTCGCCCCACCTCCGCCCCGCCCCAATGCCCGCCCACAACCACCGACCCTTCGCGCACGCGTGGTAAAACCGAAGCCGGAAAAGTTTTGCGTAGGAACCCTGCCCTATCGCGCCGCGCTGCGGCACAGGCGCGGACCCTTCTTGGCCAGCGCTTCGGTCCCGGCGCGTCTCCGCGGCCTGCCTGCCGAGCGCAGCTGCAGTGCCTGGGCGGGATCTTGGAGCCGGGTGCGAAGGGCGGGAAGTGGGATCCCAGTGGACCGAGTGGCCCAGGAGGGGAGACGGGTACGCTCCTCCCGCAAACCCGCTCCAGACACGTCAGTGTGACCTGCAACTAGAAGAGGGGCGGAATCCCGAAGTCGGAGCTGCGAAAGGAAGAGGGTCCCCGCTGTAGAGCTCCACCTTCAGCCCATTCCACTCGTGCCCTCGCAAATCGGGCCCGAACCCAGAGGAGCTTCGGAGGGTCTCAGGCCTCTCCCCTCCTCAGGCCCAGAAGTCCGAGGAAGCTGAAGCCGGACCTGGGGCTGCTTTGTTCCCCCCGCCCCATGCCCGCCTCCGCCCCTGTCGTTAGTTCAGCGGTGGCTGGCACGTGCCCAGAGAGACATCTGTTACCGTGAGGTGGAGTCACAGGCTTTGGCCCCAGCAGGGAGCGCTGGCCGGACCTCCCCTTCAGGGGGGACACCGGCTCTGCTGCCCTCTTTCCAATGCCCTTCGCCTGGGCGCGACTCAGGATTTTGACGAAGGGGACGTGGGTGGAGGGTGAGGGTTGAAATGCTCAGCCTCAAACTAGAAAGAGAGCGAGAACGGGTTACTTCCAAAGAGAGCGAGAACGTGACTTACAGGGGGATTGCTCGCCCATCATCCCTCGTCCCCCCTCTAGTTGTCAGTTACTGAACCAATAAAGGGACTGCAATCTGTCCCCTGGCACGGCTCCATCGCAGGGTGACAGGCATCCCCTTCTCAGGGCACCCGAGTGCGTCTTTTCCCCGAGCTCGGGGCTGTTGCTTCTGGAGAAGTCTTTCTTGGGGAGCGGTGCTGAGGATTTCCTTTATCTGAAGCCAGGCTCCTGGGGAACTCCACGCTCCCGGGGGGTCGGGACCGCACGCTGATGCAGGCAAGGGAACGAGCCCCCCGCAGCAAGCCAGCTGTCGGGCAGGACGCCGGCCCAGCCCTCGCTGGCGCGGAGCCGGAACCCCCCCCCCCGCCCCCCCCGCCGGGCTGGGCTCGCGCGCAGATGAGGGTGCCCGCGGGGCCCGGACTAACGCCGAGGTCAGGGAGTGCGGCCGAGCCTCGGGAGGGAGGCGCGGCCGGTGGCTCCGGCTGCAGCAGCGGCAGCCGCCCCGCGGGAGCCGGAGAACCCGCGCCGGGAGCTGTGGTTTATTCACTTCTCCGTTTTGCTACTTCTCAACTGCGGCCCCTGAGGGCGCAACGACTCAGGGTCTCCTCCGGCAGCTACACTTCTAGCCGGACCGAGGGCAAGGGTCGGCGGGGACTCTGAGGCTCATCCCCACGTCCGGATGCTCGGTCTCCGAGTCTCCCCACTCTCTGCCGCCAGCACCCCACTCCTCGGCTCGCTGCCCTCCCCACTCCCTTCCGGCCTGCTGGCACGTCCTCGCTCCCTTTTTGTGGCCTAGGCTCCTTTCACCTTCTGCTCCAGCTTGTCGCAATCGCTGTACAAAGGGCCAGGGGCGGGAGTGGGGGGCGGGGGTGGGGGGCGGGCGAGGGGAGCCGGGCCCGAACTGGCTGCCTCTGCGGGGCCACGGCCAATCCGGAGCGCGCACCCCGCCACCCCCCACCCGCGCGCAGGAGAGTCTGGGGCAGCTGCCCGCAGCCGGGCGGAGCCGCGGGCAGAGCGGGGAGCTCGCCGAGGGGACGGCCCCGCTGCCTGCCACCCGCCACCCGCCGGGGGCTCTCCCGCCTCGCCATGCCGCCGTGGGGCGCCGCCCTCGCCCTGCTCCTAGCGGCGCTCGCCCTGCTCGGCCTGCTCGCCCCGCGGCTGCGGCGCGCCGTCGGAGCGAGGACTCTGCGTCGGCCCCGCGGCCGGGACCACGAGGAGGAGGTGGACGGCAGCGGCGCCGCGGCCCAGTTCAGCGACGGGCGTGAGGCGCTGCCCGGCGGCTGCAGGCTCGTCTGTAAGCCGTCGGCGCTGGCCCAATGCCTGCTGAGCGTCTTGCGGCGTTCAGCAGCGCTGGAGCCGCGCCCGCGCTCCTGGCTCTCTGGGCCCCACCTGCAGACCCTCTGCCACTTCGTGCTGCCGGTGGGGCCGGGGCCTGAGCTGGCCCGGGAGTACCTGCAATTGGCGGACGACGGGCTGGTGGCCCTGGACTGGGTCGTGGGCCCGTGCCCCCGGGGCCGGCGGGTCACCAACGCCGGCGGCCTTCCCGCGGTGCTGCTGGTGATCCCCAATGCGTGGGGGCGCCTCACTCGCAACGTGCTCGGCCTCTGCCTGCTCGCCCTGGAGCGCGGCTACTACCCGGTCATCTTCCACCGCCGCGGCCACCACGGCTGCCCGCTGGTCAGCCCCCGGCTGCAGCCTTTCGGGGACCCGTCTGACCTCAAGGAGGCGGTCACTTACATCCGCTTCCGACACCCGGCGGCCCCTCTGTTCGCGGTGAGCGAGGGCTCGGGCTCAGCGCTTCTGCTGTCCTACCTGGGCGAGTGCGGCTCCTCCAGCTATGTGACCGGCGCCGCCTGCATCTCGCCGGTGCTGCGCGGCCGCGAGTGGTTTGAGGCCGGCCTGCCCTGGCCCTACGAGCGCGGCTTTCTACTCCAGCAGAAGATCGCCCTCAGCAGGTGGGTAACGGAGGCCGCAGGCGGACAAGGGGCCACAGAGGCGCTAGGCGGGCCCAAACCCGGCTCTGCCTGGTATTGAGTCAAAGCTTGAACTTCAGCAGAGTTCTCCTCACACACTTTCTGAAGCTGTCCAAACCCTCTAGCCTGGACAGAACCAGGGAACCAGGTTTAAAGCCATAGATGGGCCCGACATCATTATGGTAAAACAGGGACTCCCGGTGTGCGGCCCGTGGCCTCACCTCAGCCCCGGTGCGTCCTAGCAACCTGAGCACCTGCCCCACCTGTAGCCGAGGCAGCAAGTGACCACTTAATTCACACAGCTTGTCAAATCAGCGAAGGGGGCTCTGGAAGCAATTACAAATGATTACGCAGAATGCTTCCTTCTAGTGTCTGAGCCTGGAGGTGCCAGGAGTCAGAAGTTTGGTGTTACGTGATTTTTAACCATTTTTTGGGCTTGACAGATGTTTTGCGCATTCCTAGGTATGTGCTCAGTATTCAATCCCAGAATTTAAAGAGTATGTCAACATAATCTTTTTAAAACCATTTTTAACATTTATTTTTGAAAGAAACAGAGTACGAGGGAGGGAGGGACAGAGAGAGAGAGAGGCAGACACAGAATCCGAATCAGGCTCCAGGCTCTGAGCTGTCAGCACAGAGCCTGAAGCGGGGCTCTGTCCCACGAACTGCAAAATCGTGACCTGACTGGAAGTTGGTGGTTAAACAACAGAGTCACCCAGGTGCCCCAACATAATCTTTAAAAAATATCTCCAAGAGGAGAGCAATCTACCCCCAGGGTGACAGGTGAGACTTTGGCACCGAGAAGGCCAGAGCGATGTTCCCACATCAGATAAGCCCATCTCAGCGTGCACTGTTGCTTCCCCAGGAAATGGCAAAATGAGATCAGACATTATAGCAGAAAGTGTGGTGTGCAGAAAGACCTGGGATGTGTAATCCTTGGGTTCAAGTCCTAGCATTGGGTAGGTGCTCAAAAGTGGTAGCAATTGGGATTTCTCTCTTTCCTTTTTTTTAAACATTAAAAATAGATTTATTATTTAAAAAAATTTTTAACGTTTTTATTTTTGAGAGAGCACGAACAGGGGAGGGGCAAAGAGAGGCGGAGACACAGAATCCAAAGCAGGCTTCAGCCTCTGAGTGGTGAGCACAGAGCCCAGGGTGGGGCTTGAACTCATGAACTGTGAGATCATGACCTGAGTCAAAGTTGGACGCTCAACCCACTGAGCCACCCAGGCGCCCCTAAATAGATTTTTTAAATGTTTATTTATTTTTGAGAGAGGAAGAGAAAAAGCACAAAGGGGGGGAGGGGCAGAGATATGGGGGAGACGGAGGTTCCGAAGCGGGCTCGGGGAGCTGACAGTCGAGAGCCCAGTGCAGGGCTCGAACTCACTGCAGTCAAACGCTTAACCAACTGAGCCACCCAGGCACTCTCTCTTTCTTTCCTTGCCCCGTTTTATTCTGAGAAGGCCAAACCCCGAGTCCCACAATGGCCCGAAGTGCTATCGTGGCAACTCAGAACTTCTGAGCAGTCCTAGGGCAAGGTGTTCATATGGCTTCATTGCCAGTTTCCCTCCCAAATGACCACCACCAGGGCCGACTCTAGGCACCAGCTGGAGGGTAAGGTGAGGAGAGTGGACAGGAACTCCGGGCATTTAGAATCTGCCCTGCCCGCAGACGTTTGGGATTGAAAACTCAGGACAGGAAGCCTCTTTGAATGTTTGCAGGAGACACACATCCAAGTTCAACTGGCTCAGTCTGGACTGAACCACCCAAAGGAGACTGAGCTACCTGTCCTGACCTGCTTGTCAGGGTGCTGGGCTGTCTCCGTGGAGGCGGAAACAGCAAGAATGTCCCTCGTCCCCAGAGCAGCAGCTCTCAGGCTCCCTTGTGGGAGCTTACCCTGTAAAGTAATTATACTTCCAGCCACTTCTGCTGCTGCTCGGCCCTCTCGAGGAATACCTGCACCACTGCTCAAGGTCACACTTGTTCACCATTATCTGGACAGCGTATTAGCCTTTTTTTTTTTTTTTTTTTTTAGTTTATTGATTTTGAGGGGGAGGGGAGAGGCAGAGACAGAATCCTAAGTTCAAGGCAGGGCTTGAACTCACATGAGATCATGACCTGAGCCCAGATCAAGAGTCTAACTCTCAACAGACTGAGCCATCCAGGCGCCCCCAGTAATGATTTTTTTTTAAAGGCTAATACAACCTGAAGTAAAACGTTAATGATGGGGGGAGTCGCCTGCTGGTTTGGATAGTCTGAGCCAGGGAGTTCTGGGAGGGGTTCGGGAGGTGAGAGTTCCAAGCAAGTTCCCTACATGGGGTTAGAAGCTGTGGTCAGGAGGAGAGCTGTGGATCAGTGGCTGTAAAGTCGTTTGCTGCCCCGGTGCTGGGCCGGTAACGCCCAAGTGGCAGGCCTGGTAGGAACTGACACAGGAGAAAGGGAAGAAAATGCACTGCTTGCTGCCCTGAAGAGTGCCAGCCCACATTGCCAGACCTTTCCATTTCCTTCGAGAACGCAAGTAGCTGCCTTTTATGTAAAATCTCCCGGTTTTAGACAATGACGGGGCACCTGGCTTGGTCAGTTGGTAAAGCACGTGACCCTTGATCTTGGGGTTGTAAAGTTCGAGCCCCACAGCGGGGCATGGAGTTTACTTCAAAAATAAAATCTTCAGGGGTGCCTGGCTGGCTTCAGTTGGAAGAGCATGTGAGTCTTGATCTCCGAGTCATGAGTTCAAGCCCCACATGGGGTGTCAGATTACTTTAATAAATAAAACTTTAAAGAAAAAAGTTAATAAGTTAAAATGAAATCTTTAAATGATGACAGTGGAATGGAAGTCTTAAAAACTATTATATGGCCAAAGAACATTTCTGGGGCCAGAATCTGGCCTGTGGGCTGCCCCCTCTCCCCCCAGTCTGTAACTTCTGCTGTCAGTTTGTTTTCTCATTCTTTCCTCTGCTTCCTACCTTCCCCGTTGAACTTCTGGCTGCCAGGTACGCCTCGGCCCTGCAGGACACAGTGGACACCCACAGACTGTTCCGGAGCCGCTCCCTGCGAGAGTTCGAGGAGACCCTCTTCTGCCACACCAAGAGTTTCCCCATCAGCTGGGACACCTACTGGGACCACAACGACCCCCTCCGGGATGTGGACGAGGCCGCCGTGCCCGTGTTGTGCATCTGTAGTGCTGATGACCCCGTGTGTGGGCCCCCAGACCACTTTCTGCCCGCCGAACTCTTTCACAGCAACCCCTACTTCTTCCTCTTGCTCAGTCACCACGGAGGCCACTGTGGCTTCCTGCGCCAGGAGCCCTTGCCAGCCTGGAGCCATGAGTTCATCTTGGAGTACTTCCGGGCCTTGACCGAGTTCTTCCGAACGGAAGAGAGGATGAAGGGGCTGAGCAGGCGCCGAGCTTCGTTCCTAGGGGGCCGCCGTCGCTGGGGAGCCCCGCAGAAGCGGGAGGTCTCTCCCTCTTCCCATCTGGAGGAGATCTTTAGCTGGAAGCGATCGTACACAAGGTGAGGTCTGGCCCAGGAACACCCCCAAGTCCTGCACAGAAGAGCAGGGCTGGGCATGCAAGGGTCCTGAAAAGGTGGCGAGGACTGAAGGCAGCAAGCGGTCCCAGCTCCTGGCCACTGACTCAGCCCCTTCTCTCTTGAACTGGTCCGTGGGCAGAGATGGGACATCAGCAAGCTGGTGCTCCCTTTACCCGGAGAGCACTCCCACGCCAGGCTTTGCTCAACCCCTCCCGGCTCTTCCTGGTCAGCAGCTGGGCTGTCACGGTCACTGTGTCCTGTCGCCGACCTCTTAAGCCAAAGAATAGCACCACTGAAGCGCATGGACTCAGGAGAAAATGCTCTCACTCGAAAGGACTAAAGAGCAAATGGGTTTATGTATGTCATCGGGGAGCTGTGTCCCACATAAATAATCGCTCTGTGACCCTGATTCTCCAGCTGGAGCTACTCACTGCCGTGAGGACAGGATGTTTGTGTCTCACTTAGTCCCACTTCCCTCATTTGGTTCTGTGGTTGTGACTCTCTGCTGACTTCACGCTGCGGCAGCTGTGGAAGCCCCTAGAGCCGCGTGTCTGCGTCAGTGTTGCGTGAGTGTGAGAAAGGCGGCCGAGGCAGTGGGTGCTTGCTGAAGCTGGGGTGGTGAGGTCATGGTATGGAGTGTGTGTGTCTGTGCCTGGAAGACTGAGGTCCTGTCTTTCAGAATGGTCTTGCAAATCTTGGTTGGGCGGATCTGGGGCTTCCAGCAAGGACCTCAAGCCTAGAGAGATCTTAAGGATGATTTTAAGAAAAGGAAGTCCTGGAACGCTTGAGTGGCTCTGTTGGTTGAACGTCCAACTTCGGCTCAGGTCGTGATCTCACAGTTCGTGGGCTCGAGCCCCGCGTCAGGCTCTGTGCTGATGGCTCAGAGCCTGGAGCCTGTTTCGGATTCTGTGTCTGCCTCTCCCCTGCTCACACTCTGTCTCTCTCTGTCTCACTCTCAAAAATAAATAAAGATTTAAAGAAAAAAAAAAAGAGGAAGTCCTCACACACAGAGTCTGCCAGACCATGGTTCAAAGAGCCAGACACTCAGGAACTCTAGCTATTCCCTCCAGTACCATTCTTGGAGATTATTCCAGAAAACCTGAGGCAAGGCCAGTTCTCCCCTGCCACGTGGGCTTTTTCTCTAAGTGGCAAAAAGATACAAACCTTGTATCTTCGGTGTTTTCTGGAAAGTTGCCCTCTTTCCTGACCCTACTACTAGTCTCTTCCTCTCCAGAGCCTGGAGACACACCTGGGACCACAGAAAACACAAGTTCCAAGAGGTTGCCTAGCGCTGACTCAGTGGTTTATCAATATTTCCCATGAGCGTGCTTTTTTCTGGTCAATTTAATCAAAAGGCCATCCGTGTAGACGTAGAAAAAGCTTCTTCCTGGATCTCGCCACTCAGTGACTGGTTTTATGGTGTTTGGTTTTATGAGGAGTAACGCTGAAGACCAGAGTAAAATAAGGCATCATCCAGATTGATCCGCACATACTGGTTTGGATTAGGCCATTAAAAAATGCAGCGGCCCATCTACTTCTATGTGTTGCTAAGAGCTTTGCCCTGAAGTTTTAATTTGTCATCAAGAAAGGAGACACCTGCTTTGACCCGAAGCTTCCATCCTGGCCTCACAAACAGCAAAGCAATTTTAAAGAGCAGAGATGTCTATCAAAAGCCGTGTCCTAAGGCTTGAAATGAGGAATTCCTGGGGCCATACTTTTCGGCTTTGGATGATCTTAGTCCAGGCTGCTGCTTCTAGATCAAATAGGAAGAAACTCTGAACTAGCCAAGAATCTCGCCCAAAGTGCAGACAACAGTCAGCTGTATCTAAGGCACATTACCCTGTCAGGAAAAAATGTCTTCCCTTCTTCCTCATTTCTTGCTCCTCCTCCTCCACATTCCTCGTCTAACATTCTTTCACCATTTTTGAGCAGGAGAAATAATAAGGAACTGAAATCTAAAGGAGCCATTCTGTTGCTGGTTATCAGCCTTGGCATGGGGCTTGCTGAGGAAGAATTACTGACCTCCGGCCACTCCTCTCCCCCAGCCTCTGGTACTGTGGGGATTTCAGTTAATTAGGGTCTCGCAGTCCCACATGCAGGGCTGAGCATCATTCAGAACTGCCTGCAAAATGGGAAGCAGCCCAGTGGTTTTTAAGCCTTCGGTTTGCAGTGCCCCCCCGGGGCTGAGCTCTGGATTGTTTCCGGTATCTGGTATCTGGCCATGGGATTCTGGTTCTTTAAGATAATAGCTTTGGGAGAAATTGTGGTTGGTTTTCTTTTCCTTTATTATAAGAAAGCAAGTTTGTAGGGGTGGGGTGCATGTACCTACATATAAAATTTCCTCTCAGGTGCAGCCCAGGCTTCATTAATTCCCTTTGGCCCGTACCTAAACCCCAAAGTATTTCTCCTCTGTGTCCCTTGTGCTTATAATCTATCTCAGGAAGCTACTTCTTTCTCATCTTCCCATTACTGCTTTTTCAGCTCACTTTGCCAAGAGTGTGCAGCCCCTTTCGGGGCATGTCTAGGTGACCCTGTCCTTCAGTCTAACAGTGAAGGCATCGCCCATATTGGCTCCACTTTGGTTAATAGCTAATTATATGAAAGCAGCTGGAAGAACTCCAGGCACACGATTCTGAGAGAATATGTGATCCTTGAACAAAATACCAAGTTATGAGTTTGAGGAAGGAAAAACCAAACAACAAAACAAAACTAGCCTCAGAGAGGGCATCAGAACAAAAACAAACAAAAACAAAACTAAGACAACCCAAGGAAGTACCTCTGAGTCGGGTTTCTAGGTCTCAAGTCTTACAGGATCCTCTTGGGCCCTCATTCACTTGCTTGCCTTCCTTTTGGTCTCTTCGTTATTTATAAACACCTTCAAATGGTAGGAGAAAACAAAGAAACAAAAAAATTCCCCCAAACGCCATGGCTTAAAGGAGGCGAGACCTCAGATGTAGGTGGAGTCCTCTGTCTCCTCGCATTGGATCAGAATGCCAGGAAGCAAACAGTTGCCTCGAAGGTTGAGCTCTTAGTAGTGAGTTCTGGTCTCTGATACCTAAGACTGTGCTAGCTAGAACTTGATTCTCTTAAAGAATTAGTATTTCGTGTATTTATACATAGGTTTCTAGGGAGGCTTGGCCAGAGACTACGGTATGAAAAACAAAGCACCAAATCCTCACTTTGAGGCGATATCATCTCTGTTTTGGGTGAAGGTATCCTTTCTAAGACGTGAGTACTGTTAGAAAAAAGTCGACACAGGAAATAGCATTTTGGCTTTATATATAACCTCAAAATTACCCCAGACTCAGAATCTCCTCTGTACTTACTTTCCACCCAGACCACAAGAGCCTTTGTCAGCCACCCTGAGCAATACCACGGTATCTTCCTTTAGAATGAACTTCAGCATGCATTCCTCTCCCTACTTAAATAAGCAGACACAATTGGCCACTTTGGTAGGACTTCGTAACAATGCCAATGAGTATTTGTGATTCTATAGCCAAGCCACAATGAATGGCATCAGAAATCTTCCCTACTTATTAGAGTTTGTGAGACAAGATTGACAAGTTATACATAGGGAGTGCCTGGAGACGGAATGAGCGCCTCAGGAAGTAGCAAGTCCCGTGTCACTGGTGGGACATGCAAGCTGGACTGCCATTTGGCACACATCAAGGATGGGACATGTACTGAGAGATAAGGGGGGGCCTACGTTAGTTTTCTTTTTTTTTAAATGTTTGTTTTGAGAGAGAGACAACATAAGCAGGGGAGGGGCAGAGAATCCCAAGCAGGCTCTGTGCTCACATTTCCCTTGCAGTAGAATATGTGAGATTTCACAAACCGTGAGATCATGGAGCCGAAATCAAGAGTTGGATGCTTAACTGACTGAGCCACTCAGGTGCCCTGTTTTTTTTTTTTTTTTTTTTTTAAGTAAACTCTACAACCAATATGGGGCTTGAACTCACAGTCCCAAGAGCAAGAGTAACGGGCTCTACTGACTGTGCCCCAAGCCAGCCTGGTGCCCCAAGGGTGGCCTAAAGTCTCTTCTCATCTGAGAGTTAGTGAATTGAAATAATGCTAATGAGCTCGGTGGGTTGTAAAGACTTTTGGTTGGTTGGAATCAAGATCACAGACCTGATCCAGAATCTGGGAGTTGGAAGACGACATAAAGATCTTAATGGAAATAACCTTGCCAAGGGGCACCTGGCTGGCTCTGTTGGTGGAGCATGTGACTCTTGATCTCAGGGTTGTGAGTTCGAGCCCCATGTTGAGTGTAAAGATTACTTATAAATAAAATCTTAAGAAAATAATAACCTTGCCAAAGTGACCAGAGGATGTTTTTCAGATACCCAATAATTTTGCTCTAAAGTATCCAGGAAGCACTAAGAGTTTGAAAGAAAAGTGGAGTTTCATTAAAACAATCAAAAGACACTAACACATCAAAAATAAATGTCTCTAGCCCCTGTGCCTCCAGCTTTCCTGTGTTATGAGGTAATACACTAGTACTTATCACCAGTGCTGTTGAACAGAAACTTCTCTCCAACTTGTTTGCCTCTGAATAATAAATTCAGAGTCTCCCTGCAACAATGGAATGTCATTATTTTTTATATCTCCAGAAACAAAGGCTCTGTTTGTCTTCTGAAGTCCTATGTGTACTGAGCCATGCCTGCTTACCGACCTGCAGAGTTAACAGAGCCTTGCTGCACATTCTCTCTTCGTTGGCTGTTGCCTCACTTCTGTCCATCCAGCTTGTGTTCCCAGACACTATCCAGTGGCAGCTCTGTTTAATCAAAAACCAGGCCTCCTGCTCTGGGCTAATAATTTCCCAGCAAGCTCAAAATCCCCTGATCATCAATGGTACCTACATAGACATATTTTCCAGTGAGCGATTAGTAACTTGGGTGTTGAACAGAGTACTGAGGAAGTAGCCTGGAGATATGGGTTCTATTTTCTACTTTATCCGTGACTCGTAGGACTTCGGGAAAGTTATTTTACGAGTTGTTCCATATGAAAAGATTGAGACTGTAAATAGGCCTTAATTCAGAAGGTCTGTTGGGATATAGTAAAACAATAAAAGTAGGTAGGTCCTAGGGGCGCCTGGGTGGCTCAGTCGGTTAAGCGTCCGACTTCAGCTCAGGCCATGATCTCATGGTTCGTGGGTTCGAGCCCTGAGTCGGACTCTGTGCTGGCAGCTCAGAGCCTGGAGCCTGCTTCAGATTCTGTGTCTCCCTCTCTCTCTGACCCTCCCCTGCTCATGCTGTCTCTCTCTCAGAAATAAATAAAACATTAAAAAAAATTTTTTTTTTCAAGTAGGTAGGTCCCCTTCTCTGAGTCTACTTAGTCTGTCAACCAGAGCTCAAAGACCTCTAGGATGAGGTGGCATCTGCCTTCAGATCGGATTCTCCAGTTCTTACGAGGCCAAGAAGTTCCAGTTATTAATTCTATGGCAAAGCTGGGAAGGGCCTATATGAGCTGGGTCCTGGGCTGCTCAGTTGAGGACAAACTCTCCCTGCCCCCTGCCCAAACACAAGTGCACACACACTCTGATAACCATGTTATAGCTAATAGGTTGCACACTAACTCATTTGTTCCAGCTCCAAGCTATCTGTTTTCTTAGTTCTTATAAAGGATGGTCAGAAAAGACGTGGCTTTAAGATCTCACCATTATTAGTTATGGGGCTAAAGCCCAGACCTCAAATCAATCAGGCCGTACTTTGCCTTTTCCAGTCTATCACTGGCTGAGATGACAGTAAATAATGCCCATTTTAGACTTCATAAAGCATGGTAACAAAAGGGGAAAGAGTCTGTCTTCGGAGCTGCTCTAGTACAC